TGAGGGGAAAACTCTATGTTTCCCCCTCAGATGGCTGTGGCCCCGCCCCCAGCATGCCTGGCGTCATCACATCACATCCGGCTGACGTGGGGTTCCCCCCGGGGCTGGATTCTGCGGCGGCGGAAATCGGGCCTCCAAATTGAGGGGAAAACTCTATGTTTCCCCCTCAGATGGCTGTGGCCCCGCCCCCAGCATGCCTGGCGTCATCACATCACATCCGGCTGACGTGGGGTTCCCCCCGGGGCTGGATTCTGCGGCGGCGGAAATCGGGCCTCCAAAGCGGGGGATTATCCGCCCCCCGGGGGGACTTGACAGCCCTAGTGCTACTGGACTCGAATCTGGGTGTTCTACTGGAGACCAACACAGCTACTGTCCCCTGAAACTATCTTTTTTTATAATTAATACTTTATTAGTTTTTAACAAGCATCAGTACACCCATTTCGTACAATAGTTTCAGATATCCAAATACATGTTGTTAACAATATCATGTAAGTGCGGTAATATATCAGAACAAATCTGCAAATATTACCTATACGCAACAATCTGTGTAGTGTATTAACTCAAAGCGCTACCTATTTTTTGTTCTAATAAGTTTCACAAGCCCAGGTCAACCACCATGCGTGGAATTTCCTTTTGCGGCGTGAGATATCCAAGCCCCAGTGCCAGGTAAGAACGAGTTAGGTGCGCTGAGACAGGCCCCCGCCCGTAAAACCCAAAGGAAAGGTAATTCTTACCCACGGAGGTGACATTTTCATAGTTCTCCTGCATCACATCCCGGTACAAGGCTTTCTGGTAGGGGTCCAGGAGAGCCCACTCCCCCTCGGTGAATTGGACAGCCACCTCCTCAAAGGCCACTGGCTCCTAAAACCCCAGAGAACCCCGTTCAGAAAGGAAGGAAAGAAAACAAGGTCCTCAGGTCTTTCGGCGACAAACCCATCGCGGGCGCCCCGCCTCGAACTTCCAAATGAAGTACAGGAAAAGAGAAGCGTGTGTTTGAGCAGCTGCAGAGTGTTTTCCCAGTTGTCTGCTGAAAACTACGAGTTACGTGGGAATGTGTGGAAGGAAGGCCCAACGGCAGTTTTATTAAACAAAGAGCGGCACCAAAGGGGGAGGGACAGTCAGCACAGGAGTGGCCGGAGGAAGAGGGCCGCTTAATTTTGTCCCTATCATCTGCTAGGCCACGCAGCTTAGAGGGAGCATTGGTCAGCACAGGAGTGGCAGGAGGAAGAGGGACGCTTAATTGTGTCCCTATCATCTGCTGTGCCACTCCAAATGAAGCTTCCCCAGATACTTCTCTGTCCCCTCCCCCGATGCCATTTCTGGCACTGGTTCCAACACATATGAGGAAAACACGCATGTGAGGAAAATGGGTGTCAGGAACCGGATGGACAAAAGGGAATGCTACTTTACACAGAGAGTGATTAAAATGTGGAATTCACTGCCAGAGGTTGTAGTGATGGCCACAGGAACAAACAGCTTTCAAAGGGGGTTAGAGAGATTCGTGGAGGATAAGTCCATCAGCGGCTACTAGCCATGGTGGCTGAGGGGAACCTCCATGTTCACGTCACTAATCTTCTGAATCCCAGAGCCAGGAGGCCACATCAGGGGAAGACCTCGGCCTCTAGGCCCTGTTGTTGGCCTGCCAAAGGAACTGGTTGGCCACTGTGTGGGACAGGATGCTGGAGTAGATGGACTATTGGTCTGATCCAGCAGGGCTCTTCTTATGTTCTAATGTTCTTACAAAAGGAATTGAAGGACATCACTGAAAGTCTTCCACAAATAAAAAACCAGGAAGCCTAGGGAATAACATAGATTACGATTAATAGCAGGATGAGTTACTGTCTTCAGATAAAGGTTATTCTTTTCTTCTACTACGAAGTGTGCTGCTTACAGGACAGAGCTAGTATTGCCAACCTCTAGGTGGGGCTGGGAGATCTCCCGGAATTAACAACTGCTCTCTCAACTACAGAGATCAGTTCACCTGAAGGAAATTGCTGCTTCGGAGGGTGGACTCTAAGGTGTTATACTCTACTAAGTGCCTGGCAACCAGCAGGAAGGGGGGGCAGCGTCTCAGGAGAAAAATTAAAATGGAAAAATAAGGCCTTGTCTACTTACAGGAAGTTCTTACGATAATGTTCCTGGAGATTGCTAGAGCTACCCAGAAGAGACAAAGGGTAGCTCTAGCAATCGCCGTAAACTCTATATTCAAACTGTATAGAAATTATTGATAGAATAGAAAATACTAATTCGTATAGTATAGTTGTATAGTTGTCTCCTGTTTTTTCCGGTCTCCCTTCACCCTTGATCTCTGGCTGAGGAGACATTAGGAGGAAAAGGGAAGCAAAAATACCACAGACAAAGCCAAGCTGAAAATAACTGTTAAAACTGGCTGCTAAGTCTCCTGTTGCATAGGCAACAGCATAGAAAGTTCTTCTGCCCAGATTGGATTTATACCCCGCCCTTCACTACCTAAAGGTGTCTCAGAGCAGCTTACAAACTCCTTTCTCTTCCCCTCCCCACAAAAGACACCCTGTGAGGTAGGTGGGGCTGAGAGAGCTCTCCCGAGAACTGCTCTTTCAAGGACAGCTCTGACAGAACTATGGCTTGCCCAAGGTCATCCAGCAGATGCAAGTGGAGGAGTGGGGAATCAAACCCGGTTCTCCCAGATTAGAGTCCGCACACTTAACCACTACTCCAAACTGGCAGATGAAAAGCAGCCTCTCTCCTATGCTCTCCATTGTATGGGGAAACTGCACAGAAAGGGGGAGAAGCCAGATGTGCAACTAGAAAACAGGCATGAAAGAGGCTCAACTCCCAGAGGTCCCTGGATCCCAGTTTGAGAAGCGCTAATTCACTGGATTGGAAGAAAGGCGTTCTTTTGACAGTGACGTCTCTGAAGACAAGGAAGAGCTTCCTGCTTTATCAGACCTCCAGGCTGCGCAGGCAAGACCACCCAATCTGGGCTAATCTGGAAGAAGCTCCCTTCCCAGATTCCGTACCCACAACTCCCTTCTCCCTCCCCAGCCACGCCCCTGCAAGTCCTGTTACCTGGTCGAGCTCTAATGCAGCCACTTCCCTTCCACGTCTTCGGCAGCAACAGAGAAACCTCAAGCAGAAGGAGGGCTTTCCTAGGCAGACCGGAAAAGACGTTTTCAAAAGCATCCCTTCATTCGTAATCCCACCGGCACTCGCCCCTGTCAGAGTCCAACAAGGAACTCGCAAGGCAGTTTAGATAACTACAGGAAAGCCAAGCCTGCTGAAATGGGCCATCCCGGTCGGCATGGGGGGGATGTATTTTCTTACCGGATGAGAAAGGCGGGCTTAAGTCATTCCCCAGCTCCAATTGCAAGAATTCTGAGGAAAGAAAGATGAGGGAAAG